GGTGGTCCCCTAATTCTTTGTAATATTTATTTCCAACTGTCAGAAGCACATGTGTCTTATTAAGACTTATAATACTTGCCATTTCTTGTTCATCCAGCTGGACTAACAAAGATGCCATCAATACAGTGGAATAACATGATATTCTATGAAATGTCTAAGCTGTTCAGGTAATTTTAGACAATATTAAAAAGGTAGGGTATCTTTGGGGCAAATGTATATATTTGTACTTTGTCCATTGCACATGGATGCAAACAGCTTCTGGACCCTCCTTTTGATAGGGATGGAAAAGAACACATTTGCCGGATAAGTGGCTTTCTGAATGACGTGTACTTAAGGCTGTGAGTCTAGCAATGATCCCACATCTGGCAAAGTAGCTGCGATTGGGGTTACTGCTTGGTCAAATTTTCTGTATATCAGGTCATCCATCACAATCCATCTGGGTTTTGTAGGTTCCAGAATGGTGAATTAAATTGGATATGATGGGGACCATCACCCCTGCATTCTTTGGGTCTTGAGGGTGTGTTATCTCTGCCAGAGCCCCCTAGGATAAAGTATTATTTGGATCTACTATCTTAGCCAGAGAATATGATTTAGAGGATTCCTCTTGGATTCCTCACTAGGTAACTCTAATTCCATGGTCCAAGGAACCAATGTGTGGCTCCTGCCAATTATAAAGTTCTGATTGTACATTTGACTATCAGAGAAACGATCACTGGGTGGGCCTGTGAATAAATGGAGTTACTGTAATTTGGACCTGGGACAAAACTCCATATATTCCCTGATCCCCAAAGCCCCCAATCCAACAGGGTAGCCATGAAGGCTCAGCTTTCTGTGTTTTCTCAAAATACCTACTCACTCCCCTTTTCTTAATAAATTACTTTCTTTCTATCACTTTGTCTTTTGGCGAAGAATTGGGAAAATTATTTTCATATATACTTGCTGTGTTCCATTAATTTTCTTCATGGGAGCTTATTAGCCTTTCCTTTAATCAGTGGGTTCTGGATCTATTCCAGAAACTGCTCAAAGGATTTTGACTTTTATTGGCTCAGTTTCCTGATCACCCATCTTTGACTTTTTTTTTATTTTTTATTTTTTCGTCGTATGAATCAAGCAACTTCCTTGTTGGCTTGCCCATCACCTTTACCTTAGGATTAATAAAAGGATCTTTTATTAATCACCTCCATGGCTGTCTATAGGTCCTGTAGGAAGCATACATTCCTTTGCAAAGGCTTCTTGACTGCCTTCAAAAAAGACATAAATGCCAGCTTTAAAAAAAAGATTTATTTATTTATTTGAGAGAGAGAAAGAGAGAGAGTGCTCGAGCTGGGGGAATGGCAGAGGGAAAGAATCTCAAGTGGACTCCCTGCTGAGCACAGAGCCTGATGTGGAGCTCATCTCATGAAAAGAGCCCCATGTGGGGCTCAGTCTCACGATCCTGAGATCATGACCTGGGCCGAAATCAAGAGTTGGATGCTCAACCGACTGAGTCACCCAGGTGCCCCATAAATGCCAGCTTTTAACAGGGAAAAGGGACCACTGCTGCAGGTCCAGGAGGTCCAGGGTAACCTGGGAATTCTAGATTTCCAAGTACATCAACACAGACATCCCCATCCCAGGTCTCAGGGTTTCATTCTTTCCTAATTGAATGGGATGAATGGGATGTTGAACATTATGGAGAAGTTACAATTATCAGTGAATTTGCCATTGGACTGAGTGGCTGAGGTAGGGTAGAGGACAGGATCAATGGAAGACAAGAGATGGAGGAATTGAGAGGCCAGGATGATGGAGGCATCATAGAACTGAACTGTTTAGTACTCAGAAGTGAAAGGGCTTAGTTAAGCTGGAGCTCATATATGTGGTGGCAAAGGTGGAAATTAGCCTGAAAAGGTAGTTTAGGGCCAGCATGCAAAAGGCCCTCAGCATCCAGTTAAATAATTTGGCCCCATAGAAAATAGGTAGGTAATGGAGATTTTACAACACCACTTTGTCTTAATCATATGTGATTTAGAAAGATCTAACTTGTAGCAATATGGACAACACAGATTGTCTAGAATAAGGCCAATCAGTTGGGATGCTACCCCAATAGTCAGGGGTAGTTCTGGCTCCATAAGCTAGATACTTGCGTCAGAGATTGCCAACTGCCTATTCAATATCTCTTCTCCCTTATTCCTTAGGAATAGGTCTCTGTGGTATCAAAGGGTGCATTATGTTTAGACTTCCTTGCAGATAGGAAGCATCATTGAATATAAGAGAAAGACACTTTGTAAGGTTTTTGAGAAGACTGTGTTAAGATGCTTGAATCTGCAGAAGGCAAGTTTGGAAGGCAGAATAATGCTCCCCAAAGTTGTCCATGTCCTAATCCCCAGAACCTATGAGTATGTTATCTTAGGCTGCAGATGTAATTAATGATACTAACCAGCTGGATCCTGGATTACCTGGGCAGGCCCCGTGTGATTACAAGGATCTCTGAAAGTGAAAGAAGAAGAAGAGTTAAGAGTTCAGAGAGCCCCAGTGTGGGGACTCCACCCACTGCTGCTGGCTTTGAAAATGGGGGAGAGGACCTGAAGCCAAGGGATGCAGTAGCCTATAGAGGATGGGAAAGGGAAGGTGACTTGGGTCCCTGGTGGCCAAGTTTTGGGCCATCAGCCTCAGAATTTCTTTCAAATGGCAGAAAAATAAACCTGTAGGATGTTGAAGAGACTGTAATCAGGTTCCTATTAATAGATAATTATAATTCCCGACTAAAATAATCATGTAGGCTCGATAGACTTGTAATTCTTAAATTCAACATACCACGGTCCAGTAAATGTTTGAGCTGCCATATGCCAGACATGGTCCTCCCAAATCCAGATGTCTTAATCTTGCATTCAGGGCCTTAACCAAAACATGTCATGTATTTTTCTCTTTAACATACATTGGGTTGGCTAATGATTATTTCTCCAAACAAGCCTCCCCTTTTCCTGATTCCGTGGCTCCTCGCCCCTGACACACATGCCTTGGTTTCCACGACTTACTCTCTCAGCATTTCCCTTTTATTTCCTTCTTCTCTTATTACAGTTTATAAATACGTTTGTTATTATTTGTTTACATCTCTCTTATGTATCTACATTCTCACCAGAGTTTAAGCTCCCTGAGGATGGGAGCTATGTCCATCTTAGTCACTAACTAATTCCCAGTTCTAGGTAAGTGTCTTGAGGAGGGGCTCAGGAAATATTTGTTAATTGAAAAGATGAGTGTGATGTCATTGTAAAGACCATCATAGCATCATCTTAAAATTCAAGCTGGAAAATCATGACTGTTTGCGTCCACGGCACTCTTAGATTCAGGGATGTGTGCTCATCCTCATGGGAGAAGACCACAAAGCTGTGTACCCTGATGGCAAAGAGGCAAGGCTGTGACAGGTCACAGCACCAGCCTTGATCAAGGCTGTGGGGCCTCTCTGATCTCTAGGCAATCATTTTAGGTCAAACAAAAAAATATCCTTCCTTTTTACACTTACCCTGTGCCGGGCCATGAGGATTATCTAGTCTCTCAAAACTCAGTTTCTCTTGGGCTTCATCTAACTGTTGAAAACTTAGTTTGCTCGGGAACAGTATAAACAAACACACTTGGAATTGGGGGGGTGCTAAATTTTATTCTTCCCTTTGGCAAAGCATAAAAACAAACAATCCCCATGCCTAAACTCTCCAAAAACCTCATAATTACAGGAAGGAAAATATGGCTGAGGAAATTTTATTTATTCAACAGCAGGCAAGGATCTCAGATAAGGGGAACATGTCATAGCAGCTGAGCAGTAGCTGCTGAGGGGGGTACAGGTACGGAGAGGCAATGGGTTTACTCTTAAGGTACATCGAAGTCCCTTTTATTCACCGAAGCAATCAATGCTGGCTAGGCAGTCTTTGTACTAGGGGCTGGGCACACTGTATTTCTTTGTACACCTAGAGAATTGCTGTTGCCTTTGAGGCTCTGAACATCACTTCTTTTCAAACACAAATTGGCGCGTGCATGCGTGTGTGTGTGTGTGTGTGTGTGTGTGTCTAGGCAAATAAGCACTTTAATTCCAAAAGATTATTTAATATTTATCATTTGGAATTTGATAGAGAATAGAAACATGTCAATGGCACCCTGAAAATACCAGAAGGACAACAAAAGATATATATTATGATTAATCATTTTGAATATAAAATGCCCTTCCATTCATTCCTATGCTGTCTATATTAGGCCCTCTCTCTAACTCTCCCCCTTCTTCTCCTCCCCTTAACCCTTTCCATTTGCAGAGTATGAATCCTGCCTTTTGACTGTTAGAGAAGTAGTCTATTTTTAAATTTCCAGAATTTCAGGTCGCCTGTCATTAAAAATGACAGAGAGATTTAGGAAAAGGCAAAGGGAAAGCACTGTTTTTTAAAAAAACAACAAAACTGTTTTTTAGTGTGTCTTAGACAGCATGACAGATGAAATCTGAATTTTGAACATATTTTCAGGTTGTGCCCCGGCGTGTAGCATTTTAAAGAGTGGTGATGTCTAAGTTATCGGAAAGAATATGTGTTGGGTAGAAAATTTCCAACAATTTTATCCCGAAGCTAAATCCTCGCATTGTGTTTGAATATGCAAATGACTCTTACTCGGATCTGGGTTTGGAAGCTTGATCGGAAAGGCCTCTCACTGGCATTTAGGACGTGGTGTTCTTTAGCAAGAAAGCTGTCTATTTTTCTTTTCTCCAGGGGAACTGCAGTGTAGGACAGGCGCAAAGCTGGGAACACAACCAAGGGCAGAAAAAAATGCACCCCCATGTTCTGTTTGTCAAACTGACCTGCAGGTCACAACCTGAAAGTTTATGGATCGGTGGGGCCTTGCCTCTGCATAAGCATGTTTTCTGGACTTTGGCTGAAGCTGAATTCCTGACTTCTGAAAGAGGAGTGGGTGTGGACTTCCAGCAGGAATAGCCAGTGGGAAGGAAGTAATATTCATTAAGAGTGTCTCATGCAAGCAGTGCGGGGCTAAGCATGCTCAGTGTAAATTCTCCTGTAGCCTGTCAAGCTATGTTTGAACTCGTTCCAGAATACTGGATTTACTTTTTTTTTTCCACCAGGAAGAATGCTCGATTAGACTGCATTTTGCCCTGTTTTTCTTTCTTTCTCTCTTTCTTTCTTTCTTTCTTTCTTTCTTTCTTTCTTTCTTTCTTTCTTTCTTTCTTTCTTTCTTTCTTTTTTTCTTCCTTTCTTCCTTTCTGACAGAAGACTGGAAACAATATTCTTTTCCGATCAGTTCAATAATACAATGTCCTTCAGGGTCCACTTGAGCATTTCAGTGGAGAAGAAAAGAAACTTTGCTACCTGGGAGCTGAAGACTACTTAGGTCAGTGAATGCTAATAAAGTCCTTAAGGACTTATGGAACCAGGAGTTAACTTTTCTCAACTGTGAAGGTAATCTACAGCAAATTTAATTGCCTTTTCAACTGAGTGGGTGTACACCAATTTTTTTTTTCCACACAAAAAGTATGTTTCTCATATGTTGGCGTGATTTTCCAAACACAGGGAAAATATGTCTTTGGGTTAATTTGCATTTGAAAGAACCTCTTTTTGTATTAGAAGTTCTCTCTCTCTCTGTCTCTCTACCACAAATTATGTGTTTTTCAAACAAATATTGTGGCGAGCTGATGTAGCCCTAATGGTCTGAATGTGGATGTGTTCTGTGTTATATTAATTCTTGGCGTGGGTTGGTTTGGTGAAAGTTATTGCTTTTGTTACTGCCAAAGATGAAAGAGAGTTTGTTTTTCGTTGCTGTTGTTTTTGGAACTTTTGGTGGGCTTTGGGGCTGCATTGTGAGCCCCTTCTGGAGAGGAGAGTCATCTCTTTCTATGTGTAATGTGCATGTTTTGCAGTGTTCAACTCTAACTCTGAGAAAGGGACACAGTTTTTTTAGAATCTGTGTAGGAGTCGAGTTTTTTAAAAAAATGTAGTTTTGGAGGGAAACAATACGTAAGAAAGGCAGAAACAAGATTTGTCATGAGGAAATTAAATCAAGACCTTCTTGGTGAATATAAGCAGTGAATGCAAAAAATATTGCATGCCATATACTCCCTGGTTTAGTTTAGATTAATAATTTTCCTTTTGAATTTAAAGCAAGTGGATTAGACTCTAAAGTGTGCTGTCTTACATATCAATTGTGATGACACAGAAAACTGCGATGAGAGAGATGTTAGGATCTCAGAGAAAGCAAGTTCGCAAAGACGGCCCCTTTAAAACATCTGAGGACTGAGGTTAGGAAGCCACATGGCTTCATGAAGGAACAGTGCATCCTGGGCTAAAGCAGTTTAATTTTATTCAAGAATTTTAAGAGTAAAAGGGGATTTATTTCTTTTCAAAATCAGAACAGCCAGGCGAGGATTATTGATCAGTCAGGGATTAAATATTTGCCGGGATACAAAGCATCACATATTACCAATGTGTAAATCAGACTGACCAGCTAGCTATTCAAGGGATGTAAATGAAAGTACCATAGTTCCATTCGGAATCAGATGCAGGAGCACCCCTGCCCTTCATTCTCCATCTTTATGTCCCAGAAAGGGCCGATAAGAGGTGGGGCAGGGTGTGAAATAGGACTTCGCTGATGAGCTGACCTCGCTCTTTTTAACTTCTGTCCATCTGTTCTTACTGGGCAGCTGAAGCAGTGAGCAAAGTGGGAAGGAGACCTCAGGGGAGACGAGGAAGAAGAGGCCAGACCCCCCCAGGCCTCTGATCCGCTCCCTGTCCTGTGATTTAGACCTAAGTAGAGAAGCTAAGTGGATGCATCTAAATCCACTTCCTTCTGCTCCCAGGGCTTTGATTTAGTACCAATTGCTGCAATTCTGCACCTGCCTCTGCTTTTCATAAGTAAAAGCTTCTCGACGCAGAGATGGTGGTTTATTTGCTATAGATTGATCCCCAAGGAGATAGCCACAGTAATTCAGTCTTGTTTGGTTTTTCCTTTCTTCCCTAACATGTGGCATAGATCTTGATAAGTTTAACTGAAGCAACAAATCCTTTCTAGTATGGGAGAGCACAGTTCTCCATGAACGTGTGTGTGTGCGGGCGCACGCACGCGGGCTGGGCTGTGGGACAGTGCAGCTTGGGAGGCTTTGCACGGCCAAGGGCATTTGTCTGGTGTCAGGGACCCTTTCACTGCCTTGGCTCTGTCTGTATAGAAAGAGGGGAGGCACACATTCTGGAGCATTCTTTCCTCCGACTCTCCTTTCCTATCACTGCGCCCCTCCCCAACGCTGTTCCCCCTTCGTGACCTATGTCTCAAAGAATGACACAAAACCTTTCGAGGGACAAAGGAAACCCAGAGGCCTCTTCATGTTCACATCTGGATAAAATTTAGATTGTGACAAGGGAAAGTGAGTGGGAGGAAAAAAAAAAAAAAGCCTGACATCACATTTTTAAAAAGGCGTGTAACTGACTTCCTAGAGGTTTTCTTGTCTCAAGTGTTCTGGGTGTTTTTGTGTCCTGCCCATACCCTGCCCATGGGGCTTGGGGAAGGCAAGTGTCATATCCTTATTTTGTAGTAAGTGCAGTGGCCAGGTTAGAATCAGCACACAGAGCTTTCAAGCTCCAATTTAAGACTTTACCTATACACTAAAAGGAATGATCTGAGGTGAATTTCTGCATCTTGGACTCAGTTTCCCCATTCACTAGGAGTCTTGTTTGGTTTTGGGCAATGGCAGATATTTTGTGCAACAATCTCTTCAACTGACTCTGTTACTATAATGGTTTCTTAAGTCAGATAAGCACTTGAGACCTTTCAGGGAACTTTCTCGTCTTTCCTTTTATCTTTTTTATCTTTAACACCACCCATTAAAATCGATTGGCCCAGTGTTGACATTTTCATCTGACAAAGCATGAAACTGAAAGACTGGAGGAGTTGCTGCCTCAGGTCAGATAGAGGCTGGATGGGAGTTCAGGTTGCCCAACTCAGGGTTTGAAATTCTAGACCATCCTGAATCTATGTGGGGAGCTCAGGGTTCCTGAGGTAGTGAGGGTACATAAAGAGGAGTCCCGTGGTTCATGAAAGTGCAAAGTGTGGCAGAGGCTTTAAATACTGTGAGTCCCACAATGAAGGAGAAAAGTCAGAAAAGTTATGTACTTCACCCACAGTCACACTTAGGGAGTTGGGAAGCTGGCTCTGAATTCTATGTGTAGGACCCCAAGGTGTGTGCCATATGGCACAGTGAGGAAGCACCCGGACTTTACTGGGTTTCACTGCATCTTTTTTTGTTTTATTTAAAGATTTTACTTATTTATTTGACAGAGAGAGACACAGCAAGATAGGGAACACAAGCAGGGGAAGTGGGAGAGGGAGAAGCAGGCTTCCTGCTAAGCAAGGAACCCGATGCGGGGCTCGATCCCAGGAGCCTGGGATCATGACCTGAGCCGAAGGCAGACGCTTAACGACTGAGCCACCCAGGTGCCCCTCACTGCATCTTTTTTCCCTTGTAGGTAGAAAGGGATACCAAGCACGGGGTTACTGTGAGGATTCTATGAGATGATGTATGTAAAAGACTTAATATGGTGCTTCCTGCACTGTGAACCTTACAAGGTTCTGAGTTGTGCCTGTTCTTGTTGTTGTTTGTGTTCTTTATCACCCAAGGTGAGCGTCAGTTATGTTCATTGTGAATCCCAATCAGCTCTTAGCTCAACTCCCAGAATCTCAGGGCAGTTGTGTTGGTGAGTTACTGTCATCCTATGAATAACACTTAAGGCATATTTATTGAAAATACAAAAACCATGCTAACTGCTGGTAGGGAGCTAACAAAGGCAAAAGCGGTGTTCTTTGTCCCTTCCCGGGGAGAGGCTGAAGGGAGGTTATCCAGGCACGATGTGTCTGGGATAAGCAGTATGGCCGAGTCAAATCTAATCATCTTTGGTGGCCTTCACTGGCTGCTGAACAGACTTCGTGTGTGTGAGAAGCCTCTCTGAAGGGAAGAATGGCTAGTCAGAGGTTATTCTAGGTTCATAGCTTCAGTGAGTATTGAGAAACAAGTGAAGGCACTTGTGCTCACAGGCTGTAGAATTGTCAAGATTTTGTATTTCTTGGCCCTTCGGACCAGCACTGACTGGGTTGTTGAGGTTGATGGAGTCTCTGAGCTTACACAAGGCATTATGTTAGAAAGATCCCCTTAGAGAGAGAAAGCTCCAAGGCCCACTTCTGACCAAATCAGTGCTTTGTAATTGAGTTGAGAACTGTAAGCACACCATAACAGGGCTGCAAAACCAGAGGGAAGAGCCACTCCCCTCAGAGCACATTCAGTGTGGCTGAATAAATGGTACATATAAAGGCACGGAGCATTTACTGACAAAATAGGTGTGCTGGCGCAGAAGTGTGAAGCCAACTTCAGGGACAGTGGATGATAAGTAAAGATTTTAAATGTCTATTTAAAATTCCTAACTTCTTTAGAGTTCAGAGGCTTTACCATGACCTTCAGTCACTTGTCCACTGTAGGAGGATGAGGGATGTAGATGGGTATTGTTTTCTCGAGCATCTATTATGTTTCCTCTACTAGATTTTATGCTTTACCAACATTAGCTTCTTTAAAGTTCACAGTATCCCTAGAAAGTTTAAAGAGGAGGAAATCTGCTGGGAGACAAGTGTATATGGCCACTGAAGCAAAGAGGGTTCACGTGATTGACCAACTGAGCATTGCATACCTCGTGTACTAGGAACACCTCCAGGAAGCATTTTAGGTGGACAGCTGTTGTCCAGTAGCCTCTCAGCTACTGAGTGCTATTTCTGCAAGTTCCTTAGATGGGAGATGCCAGTCTTGCCTAATTCTGGATCAGTCAACATGTATTGTACAGAGTTGGGCAAGTCTGTTCCCCTGAAGGGTTAGTGTTTAATTGGCTGGCTCAATGCACACCACCTGCTTTTGGAGAGCCACTCCACTTGAACAACAAATTGAAATGCATCTTTTTGTTACCCCACAAATAGGTCCTTAAAAGTTTTGCAGCTTCTGAAGTGAAAAGCCCAGTAATTACTAGGTAGTATCATGTAGTTTAAAAACAGAATTTGGGGTGAAATGTCTGAGATTTGGGTTCTGACCTTGGCATTTTCTAGCTGTGTGACTTTGAGTAAATTATTCCAATTCACTGTGCCTCACTTTTCACACCTGAAAATTGGAAAGGCAGAGAGAATTTCCTCAGGTGAGATGACCAAAGGTTAAAGTGATTTTTAAAAATTTAGCCTGTTTTACCTATAGTTATTCTTTCCCCCTTGGCTGCTATCTGAGGGTTCTCATGCTTTCTGCTTTTCTGTTCTGAAAAGGCTTCTCCTTCACTTACTTCCATGGAAGGTGGCATGGTTGGCTGAGCTGGGCAAACTGCTTTCTATCAGAATGTTGGAAAATCTTTTATTCCCCAAATTATATTAGCCAGATTAGTGAAAGATG